CTCATCAAGGTCTCATGCTGTTTTCCAAATTGTATTACGTATCCCGGGTTTAAACCAAATTCATGGAAAATTTTCATTAATAGATTTAGCTGGAAATGAAAGGGGAGCAGATACATCATCAGCCAACCGACAAACAAGTAATAGTTGTTGAAACATTTTTTGAATTATTTAATTGTATTATTTTTTATTTAACCTAGGAATGGAAGGTGCAGAAATAAATAAATCTCTACTTGCACTAAAAGAGTGCATTCGTGCTCTGGGGAAAAAAGGTTCTCATTTACCTTTTAGAGCAAGTAAATTAACACAAGTACTTAAAGATTCCTTTGTTGGTGAAAATACTAGGACCTGTATGGTGAGTTATTTTTCATAGAAATATATATAGTTAATGTATTAATATTTTTGATAAATATGTGCATAATAATAATTATTAATATTTTTAGATTGCAATGATAAGTCCGGGACTAAGCTCATGTGAACACTCTCTGAACACGCTCCGTTATGCTGACCGTGTTAAAGAATTGGACGCATCGGATCCTGCTGCTGGAGAAGTTCATGCTCCTATGTATTCCCCACCACCAAGTCGTTCTCCAAACATGTCTCGCAACTTACAAGATGTCAGTATGGTTGATGATGATTTAGCGGCACTAAGATCTCTTAATGTAAGTATCTTAAAATTATATGTTATACTGTTATAGTTAAAGTTATTACTAATTTTTTTTTGAATAGTTAAAAATCTAAATCAAATTTAATTATTAAATTAATTTTTTCCAATAGGAAGGTGAATTGTCTGCCGACTTGTACAATTTCCACGAAGCTGTTTCCCAATTGCAAGAACAAGAAGATGAAGTGCTAGATAAACACAAATCGTTAATTGAATCTGAAAAGAAATGGTCACAAAAAGAAAAACAGTTGTTGGCAATGACTAAAAACGTTGACTACGATCAAGATGGTAACCGAGATCAAAAAACCTGTTTTCTTGTAGCTCTCCAACTTTTAGCTTTACCTATTGCTTATGCTTTCTTTTTTTTTTTTATACTCCCGTTGCTGGAACTTGACAATTTCCAAATGAAGTAATCTAGTTAATTGTTGTAAAAAACAAAAAAAAACTGTTGTAGAATTTTTTGAATTTGTTGATTAGCTTTATTTTCTTCGTACTCCATCAGTATTATTTATTTTTAGTTATTATTAAGCATAGTTTTATAATATTATCTTTGGAGTGTTTATTTTTTCCTCATGTTTGATATTGCTGCTTCTTTTTTTTTATAATACCATTTTGTCGTTAACGGTTTATTATTCAAATATGTCCTAGCTACTTGTTTTCACTTAACCTATTGTTTAATGTTCGTGACATAAATAATATTATTACATAGTTATTTTAAACTAAAAAACAAATTTGAGACTCATAAATAATTTTTATTTTCACTAAATATATCACTAAATCAGGAAAATTTTAAACCATATTTATAAGTATTTCATAAATAAGGAAAATTAATTCTGATAATTTTTTTTTTCATATTTTCTAATGTTTCTTGGTTTTTAATTTTTTTATTGTTGAGTATAGTTTATATTCTCAAAGTAGTATCCTTCAGTACACCTTACTAAGGTTTATAACATGTACTAAATTCTTATATTTATATAGATTATTTAAAAATAATTCTCATTTTTATTTTATTTCCAAATTCTAAAAATAAAAAAATTATACATTTAAACAACTAATCTTAATCTTACTGTTAGAATATTAAAATTTCTTTGTTCAATTCATTAGAGATTTTATAGTACTATTATTTTGTTTTAAAAATCTTAACATGGATATTTTTCTGAATAACTATTTGAATTATTTGTGTTTTTAGTTTCGTTTAAACGTTTAATTAAATTTTATTTGAGTAACGTACTTAAAAGAAATGAGCCGTCCAACTGTTTACCATTAGTTTTAATTAATTGTTACCGTGATTAAATAAAGCAATACAAGTAATTTAAAATATACTTTAATTAGAAAATGGAATTGCCCGTCCAGTTACTCATTGAAAAGTCATCAACGGGTTTAAGTCTATCTAGTCTTTATTAATGTTTGTAATTTTCACTTTAATTTATTTTACCATTATTTATAGAACCAAATATTATTGCATTTGTTACAGTTACGCATTTATACTTTGGTAGCTTTAATATAAGGTTTTCTCCTTGCATTTATTATTTTATTTAGTTAATATAATAATATAATACGTTTAAAAAATTATTTCCATCTAAAGTATTTTTTTAAAACTCCTTGTATGTACTTTTTTATTACATTTAAAAGGGCTGAGATTGTTTGCACTGATGTTTTAATAAAATATCTGGTCTTAAATTGGATAACTTAGTTGTGTGTGTGTGTGAATGTTTGCTTTTTGATATTATGAATTATAATATACCTATGCACATTTGAAATATTTTTTGATTTATTATTAAAAATGTTGTGGATCGTTGGCGTGTTGTATTCTTAATTGTATTGTTTTTCCAGCGTATTCATTGCAGCTGCTCAATTTGATTCAAACCAGAATAGCTGCGAATCAAGATCTAGTTGAAACTGTGCTTGCATTCAGAAAACAGTTGACAACTGAAGAACAATTCAGTCAGAACATTATTAGAGGCGGCCACCGTTAAGGACAATGTTTTTGTATTATTGTCTTCTATGTGTAATCGTTAAGTCTTTGTTTTTGTAATAAAAAATATGATGAAATAGAAAACGCGTGAGGAAATTTCTATTTTTGTCGTTCAGATACTGATTTTATGTGATTTTTTCGGTGATGCTACTATTAATGGCCAACAAACACTCATGAACACTGACTGTGTTTGTCGGTTTTTACCTACTTAATAATTTACTACATCGCTTTAATTAAGTTTTTAACCTCAAAGAACTAAACCCTTATTATTGTTACGAGCATTATAATTTGTTCTTCTAACTTTAAATACCTTTAGTTATATATATTTTTAATTATATGTATTTTTTCTTTTAACAAGCATTTATTCGTATTTTTTTATTTTTTACTTTAAATTCACATATTAATTTAATATATTATATCATAGCAGTTATTTAATTAAAAATTTTTCTAGTAAAAACATACCATGTAGGAAATAGTAAAACTAAAATTCAAGATACCATCAAACTTTTTTGAATACCTATTTTTGTAAAATATAAAACAATAATATAACGTTACAATAATATTTAATTAAACTAAGAAAATTATTATTACGTTTATTCTATTGTTTATGTGCAAATAGTTGTTCAGGCTTTACAATGTTGGAATAAGTACCTATTTTTTTAACATTAATTTTTTGTAAGTCCTATGTTTCATTGATTATTAATGATTAGAGTATAATTTTTTTAAAACAAAACAATTTTTGAGTTTTTCTTTTCTCTTGTGTTTAATATTTTTTATTATATTATGCCCTATTTTCTGGGACATGATTAGTCTTGACCACGGTTGATAGATATGACATCTCACTATGCAACCTTTCACTATTTATTAAAATTTAAATGACTTATTCAGCCAATTTTGGCTTTAGAGCCATGGTCAATAGGTAGAAATAATATAAAAAATTCAGTCTATCCAAATTTGGTATTGAAAATACTGGTTGGCATTTTAAAATGCCAGTTGTAGAGCTCATGCTCGTACCGAGAGATACAAATTTGAAATATGTCTGAAAATATGTACTTATATTTTCTATACCACAAGCTTGTAAAGAAAAAAAATCAATGTATTCCAATACAATCCGGCCAAGAAATTCAGTGTTCCTTAAATTATTGGTGAATATGTAAATATTTAGGTATTTTGGTATGTATAAATATTATTGTTTCAATGATCTGAATAAATATTTATTTATTTTTGTTTGTGTATTATTCTATGTATGTATGTATGTATGAATTCTCCACAATTTATTTAGATTTACACATTTCATTTCATATTGACCATCAGCAGGGATCAGACTTTAAGCACTCAAAATATCTTAAATTTAACATTATAAATATGTAGTATAATAATTACTTTTTAGGAGTATTCAAAATTATCCAAGAAACAATTATTGGTAACTAAGTTTACTTTTTTGTCTTATGTAACTTATCTTATTTAGGAAAAATATAAAAGAAATCTGACTTTATATGTAAATTATCAAAATTAGCAGTTAATTGGGAAAATTGAACTAAAATTCTAAATTTTTTTAAATATATTTTTTAAATTCTGAGAGGAGCAATGAATGCATTGATCTTATAATGATGTTGTTTTATTTTTTGTCTGGATTTTTAACTTTGAGTGTGATTTATGGTAGCAAATGGGATATAGTTAGTTAATATAATATATACTATAATTTTTACTTGTCTAATGTTCTGAAAAGTGTATTTAAATATTGTTATTAAATTTTATATTGACCTTTTTATAGCAAATAACTAATCATGCACTTTATTCAGCCATAATTAAAAGTATATTATGTATCTAAATACCTTTTTAGAAACTTGAAAAATGGCAACACATCTGATTTTAATATTTTTCAGTTAGACTTGAAATAGGCTGTGAAAATTTTCACTTCCAAATAGTAAAACATTTTATAACAAAAATAAAACTAGAATAAAAATTATAATTTTGTTATTTATTATTTTTTATAATATAAATTGGCAATTCAGAAGGAGAAAGCTAAGCTCAATTGGGTCACTTTTTAAGAGAACTTTTGAGGACTTTAACCTTAATTTTTGAGCTAGTTGTGCCATTGCATTTTCATCAGCAACATTAAAATCAATTTAGATGTTATTAAGGGTAATATTTTTGAGTCCTAATCATAACTTTGAATGATTTATGTATCAAACTCAATTAAATAAATTAAATAAATCGCAGCACATTGTAATTTTTGATAGAATTTTAAGGTGTGTCACACAGGATTGAGGATACAATGAAATGCCACCAACGACTGGATAGATACATAAAGTTTTTATGTACCTACTGTTGTCCTTGAATAAACGTATTAAAAACTACAAATTAGTAAACTCAATAAATAACAATTAGGTATTTATTTTACAGAACTTTGAAGCGACCTTTATAACCACCATAACCACAGCGATGGACGTTAACTGCAGTGTTGTTTTGAACGTAAATATTTCTTCTAATGAGTTGATATTTGACAATGTTTCGCCGCTCTGGCAGCATATGTAATTGTATGGCATCAGCCCTGTAAAAAAAACCTGATGTTATATTTGGATTACATATTAATATAATATTATTATTAGGAAAACCCATTAAGTTTTCACGAGACACACCAAAAAATGTTGTGTACATAAAAGTCCAGAGGGGAATGCTGAATACAGGTGCAAGCAGATTCAACAGCCAATTCGGAGTAATCGGAATGATGCGCAAGACTAGGAGCAGGTACCAAAGTTGGTGTTCATTGTTTTTCACCTAAAAACAATTGCATAATTAAAAATGGTATTGTTATCATCCCGATAGGAATCAAATTATGTTTAAAACATGTGGGGTTTTGCTTACTAAATTTCCCACGGTAGTTTTTGATGAGGTCAATGTGCCAGGGAAATAATTCATTAGAAAAGTCTCAACGCCACACACTCTAGACAGGAGGTAACATGCAGAGACACCTATACTTGATAGTGTGCACACCAGCAGGAGTCCAAAACCAGAGCCAAACAACGAACCCGCAATCAAGTTCTGAAAAGTGATGAATGATAAGTGGTCCAAAACTTGACAGAGTTTAATTTTAACACTAATTTTAAAGAATAGTGGCAGTAAAATTCTCTATGAAATAAACATAGTACAATATATGTACAAATGTACATAAAAGTACATTTTTCATGTCGGAAATTTGAATAATTTTTGTACTTTTTGGTATTCTACTTTATACTCAAATTAAGTTTATATTATTTTAGGAATGAAGACTAAAGTCATAGATACTTAATTTTGAATTGCTTAACATTATTATTTTAAATATGTTGAAGCTCCTTACTCACTTATTTATTAGTTATAACTTACATTCAAGTTTTTATTTAATTTTAGTTATTTTCTACTCATGTATATTATTCTATACAACTTCTTGGCTTCAATGTGAACAAAAAAATGTTTGCAGCATAAATTGTATCAATATTTTTATAGTTTGCTATATTGCTAGTAAAATGAACTATGCGAAAACCAAGATCAAATACATTTACTATACTACTATGGTATTCAGATTTGTTCATACATTTCATACAACATAGATATCAATCATGGCTGCAAAACCTAGTCTACGATTATAAAAATGTGGCACAAAGTAATAATAGAAAATAGCAAGGACATTGTTAAAGGAATAATAATGTAAACGTTTCATAGTTCATCAGATATTTTGCCACCCACTTCTGCATATTTTTTTATAGTTGTATAACTTAAACAGTATATTTTAAGGAATTGTTTTGGAAAATTAAAATAATGATTTTGTCCTGTTAAAATTTAATTTCAGATCACTGTGGGTTGAGTACTCTGGAGACAGAGAAATCGATATTGCATCAACAACCACTATCATTGTACACTTACCAGTATGACAGAGCCTGGTATGCAAAATGCCTGTTTAATAATGTACACAGTACTGAAAAGTGTAAGCACATATAGGTAGTTATTGTCATAATGCTTCCTAAGACACGAGTTGAGTTCCATTAGTTCAGCCATGCTCTTGGGAATCACCATTTTGATGCGGCACTAGATGGACAAAAATCATGGCAACATATATTAATATAAATATAATATACAGTAGTCACATGGGGCCAAAATCATTCAGATCCGTTTACAAAAAAGTTCCTAGTTTAGGTTGATGAGTGGGTCAGGGTCACTATGGGTATTGGTTTATTATATTATACACAATTCACAGAAGTTAAATGTTAGGTTAGTTAAATGTTGACTTAAGGTGTCACCATTTGAAATAAAGCCGTACATAATATTCATCATTATTTATATTTAATCATATTATACAAGTTTGTACTTCTGTAAGATATGATTATAAATAGGGGCCAATTTAGCCATACACGTGCAGAGCACATTTATAGGAAAAATATTCTAAAAGACCAGTTATTTTAATTCACTTGAAGCTACAGAGTTGGTAGGTACCTATATTATTATGAGTAAATAATGGCAATCTTACTTGATTATCGGTGGGTGGAGCATTTTGGACGAGAAAGTGCAACCCAAGAATGGAAGCGGCAAACAGCGGGACCACCAGTAACACCCGTGGGAAAGCCATCTGTGGAAAAAAACATAATATAATAATCAAACAGTGTAATATAGTGTTAACATTAGACAAATGAGCCGTTATGCAGGATACATGTTGGACGATCATATATTATATAATGAAACAAAACCTTGTTTGGCGCCGGTCAGTAGACCTTTTATGATCTAGAAAATCATTTATGGCACCTACTCTAGGGCCGAAAATGTTTGGAGGGCAGAACATTTTTATACTCAGCAAGTTGCATTCAATATTTATTTTGTTCTTAAACAGAAAAGTGCTTAATTAAAAATAATTGCAAAATATGGTATAGAAAAATGTCATTATGTAAGGAAACTTTGCTGTACAAGTGATTTTTTTAGGATAAGGGCGGCAAATTGTTAAATCCTCCCCTGCTTTCAACATTAGACACCTACCCGTTTACTGTGATCGTCCGACAAATCAGATATCGGACTGATCACTGGTATGCGTTAATTAATCGTTACTCGTTTTTTATTTGTTTCGATTTGATTTCAACTTTCGAGCAACAAACAAAATATACTTTATTCTCGAAATTGATTTAATTTTAAACGGAGGGGCGAATCGATGGCCGACCACGTCGAGTTGTGAACGATTCAGGATTTCCGTCTTATCAATTTCCTTATCGCTATCGCTCAGATTAAAGATCGTGTTATATTCGTGATATCGAAGTCCGATACGAAACGGTACGTCACGCTAGGAATACGTTAGAATACCGTATGCTGTACAACGCACGTGTATAACTTCGAAATTGATCCAATACCTATATGCGTGTCGATTTAGTATTTTATTTTTTTTACAGGACAACATGATGTATCGACACTCCAATTGGCAATTTCTTCCTAGAAAATCTTGATATCACCTCCATAGAAAATAGATCACCAATGTATAGATGGAATTATGAACATCTGAGCTGAATTTCACTTGCATTTTGATCTTCATGCAATTTTCATCTTACATAAATTGAGATGCAGGTGTCTCGTGTATGATTAAAAAATGGTCTAATTTTAAGAGCAATATAATATACAGGATGATTTACCGAGCATGTTCACCCCCATTTTTTCTTTAATAATGAATTTATTCGAATTCTGATATTTTGAATTTTTAGGTATACTCAAAGACCATATTTTCAAATTCATGGGTATATGGAGTCCTGTGGTGATACAAACTTCTATTTTTAAAATGAGAACCCCACTCTTTTACTGTAAATTAAATATTGTGTAATTATTTTTGAAAATTTTGTTGTATCAAATTAAAATTTTGAATAAGTAGTTTCTTAGTCATAAAAATGTTTGTACTAAGGATAATAGTCCTTAAAATTGATTTTAATTAAAGTATAAAATATACATAAAATTGGATCTATAGTATTTATTATACTTGGGCCATTTTTATAAATTATTAGTATCGATAGATTAATATTAATGATTACAATTTTCAAATCACCATAGCCCCCTTATCTTATAAACCTATTTCTATAGACCTTTTATCCTTAGAACACAAAAGTTAGGATTTTAATACATAAACAATTTGAGTATAATTATCTACGGTAGGTATAATTTATAGTTGAATAGAGGAGTCCTCATTTGAAAAACAGAATTTGTATCTTCACAGGACACTCCTTGAATCCTAGAAAAAATCTCAAGGGTTTGAAATATGGTCTCAAAGTATATTTAAAAATTAAAAAATCAGATTTTGAATAACTGCATTATTAAAGAAAAAAAGAAGGTGAGCATGCCTGGTGAATCACTCTGTATAATATATAATTAATTTACAATGTGAAACACAACTGCTAACCCGTAATCAAAAAATCGAAAAGTGTTAAATAAATACAAATAGATACCTACCGGATACCCAAGATTAAAAAGATTTTCTTAGAAATCATGGATAATTTTAAAAGTGGTCGTTTAGCTTTTAAAATTACTATTAGAGTTTCAGCATCTATATATTTGAACCAAAAAAACATGGTAGAAATGTAGAATATGATGCACCTATGTCTTAAAAATATAAATCAATAATTCTCAAGTGAATAGACAAGTATTTACAATCAATTGGTATAAGTTATGTTCATAAATCCTTGTTTGTAAATGATTGAACAAAAAATAACAAAGTAGTATAAGTTTCATGGCTCGACCACAAACCATAACCATAACAAACACTAAAATACTATAGGCATAAATATAGTTCAACAACTGCAGGGGGCTAGAAATATAACTTAACAAGTATTAAACTTATGAAATTAAGTTAGGATATATTTGGGTGGCTTCAAGAGTTTTTTTCGAGTGTGGGGGGAAATTTAGCATATGTTAAATACTATACTATACTGTTTATATTATTTGTTGTAATCATGAGTGTATTTAAAAAAAATACTTCAGTATTATATACTTACGTAGAACCTAACCCAGAAGGTGAACGAGCAAGCTAATTTTAAGCCATAGATGTCAACTCTAAATTGCATTATTATAACTTATAACATAAATATCTGCACCGTAAATTGTACTCACAGAAACATATTTACAATTCCCGCATTATAAGCGTGCACCACCACTGATGAAGTTGCATCACGCTTAATATTATGTTCTTTAGCCACTGCACCTAAATTGTAGGTAGGTAGCATTGAGATTTTTGAAAATAACCACAACAGACTAAATTGCTGAGTATTCATATTATTATATTATACTGTACAACTGTCAAAGCAGCGCAAGTAAGTCTTTTTTCAATTAGTTAAAGTTAAGTTACTTCAATACAAAAACTAACTAAGTAAAAGTGTAAGTTAGTTTCTGAATTTATAACTTAATTAGTAAGAAGCTAGTTTAGTGAAAACAGTAACCTAAATTAGAAGTTTTTTATATTTTAAAATATAAATTTAAAACTTGTTTGTTCAAAATATTTTAAGTATTACATAAGTTAATTACTCGGTGCCTCAGTATTTGACTTAAATTATTGCTCACCTAACTGAAAATTTGATAAAATGTCTCAACTTTTAATTTAAGTAGATACGAAGCTCACAGGTAGGTACCCACAAAAATTAATGCAATCTACAGTATTACTTAAAGTAAAATTAATATAATAGCAATATGAATTTTAAATATATCATAAAATAATAAATATACTTAGTAATAAAGGCTGACAGACATTTTTTCAAGACCATCTTCATGCAGAATTGTTTTTTTTTATGCAATGATCTATCATTAAATTCAAATTTAAAAATACACCACAATAATTTACTCAATGGTGAGGTACACTCGGCACCTATTATACAGCAGAGAGATTACCTACTTTCCCCTTTTTTAAAATTTGTTTTGTTTATTCAATTTATGTAGTATGTGGTTTTTTGTAATAATCGTTTAAGATTTTGGTAATACATTATAATATTGCAGATTTAATGTATTTCAATAAATAACAGATTTTGAACACAAACAAAATTAATATAGATTGTTTAAGTGATAATAGTTTATTTCCATAACAAAAGTAAAAAATGCAAAACTAATGTAAAACACAGCATTTAAAAGGAACAAATAAGTACTAATATAATATGCCTAACTGTAACAAATCATAAATAAATTAAGTAACATAAACAACAAGAATACTATGTATTTAAACAGAAATCATAAATAGGGTTGTAATTAATAATTTAGTTTTGACTTCTTAATTATAATGTTTTTACTTATTTATATATACTTATAAATATTTTATGATTTAACTACAATACATTAAGTATAGGACTAGAGACAGAAAAAAAGGTAACTTACAGCTTTAGCTAATTTAACATAATATAAGTATTATAGACACTTATATACTAAACTATAACTCATACTAAGTCAAATATTTTAAGTTATAATAATTAATAATGATTGATTTGAAAACAATTTTTTTTTAATAAATCAATAATAAGTCACTTACAGCTTACAGGTTACGGTTTATGTGTAGACATTATAAAAAAAAATATACACTTTGAGATTTTTAACTTGAGCTGCAGGCAACAGTTTAAAGATCATTGGTAAATAGAAACTTTATAGTTATAAGTATCTATGCTGAAATGCTAAGTTAGGGTAAAAATATGGTAGGCAAAACAATGAAAGCACACTTACGTTAGCATTTTAAAGTGGTGGTGAAGATAATCCAAATGTCATGAAATTGCAGAAGAAAAATATAGTAGTTTTATTATAACCCAAACGATGATTTAAGAATTTTTTCTGCTTCAATTTTGGCCTAAAAAGTATATTTTCAAATAATTAAAAATCATACATAATAATAACTAGATTTATATTAAAAAAAATATTAAGAGGACATGATACCTGCATGTGTTGTCTCTGTCTTACAAGTGCGTAACAAAACAAATTTTACGCTCAGCAGAACGCGTGTAGCTCCGTTAGTTTAAAAATTAATGCGAATTAACCTCTTATAAAATCTAAAGGTAAAATTATTATCTATGCAACCTCAGGTTTTTTATTATATTTTAATTTTAACGCGAGTTATGAGTATTTTAAAATTGTAAATTTTTTATACATCTTAAAATACTTATAACTGGCGTTAAAATAAAAATATAATAAAAAGCCTACGAGGTTGCCTAGATAATAATCTTACCTTTAAATTTTATAAGAGGTCAGTTCACTTTAATTAACTTTAATTAACGGAGCTACACGTGTTCTGCTAAGTGTATAATTTGCTATGTTACGCACTTGTAAGATAGAGACAACACATGCGGGTATCACGTCCTCTTAAAAGCTAAAATTAATTTTGTCCCTATTACTCCTATGGCTTTTTCTTTAACAAATTATTTTGCAATTTTATTCCATAACTAGAATATAAATATTACTTTAGAAAATAGAATTCATTAAGTGAACAAACATTGCGAATTCTAATTAGATAAACAGCAATGATGAACAATGATAAAATGTTTCTGAAAAGTATTGATGAATTATCAATTAATAATTGTTCCATTGAGTTTAGACAAAAGTTAATAAATAATAATGAAGTAAAAATACAGAGGAACATAAGCTTATTGAAAATACATAGAGGGTAACAAGGTGATTTCGAAAACTTATAAACATTATTGGAGTAAACCCAGTTAAGAAAAATAGTTCACTTATAATTACAATTTAATTGTAAACTTTGTTTTGAATGTATAAAATTAATGAGGCAATAAAATGAAAAACAATTTAAAATTCAATCAATTGACGTTAAAAAAATTCAGATGGTTACATAAAGACATCAATATAAAAGGATAAGTTATCATTTGCAAAATAGTATGTTTAGTAGGACCTCCGTGACCAAAAAATATTTAAATACAGTAGAGAACTAACTCTGAAAAGGTGTGGACTAAAAATTGAAGCTGTTAAAGTTACTCTACCTGATGGTCCTCAACAGTTTTAACAGGATATTGAGTGACTAGTTTCAGATAATACTCGGCACTAAACTTGTTGTCCATCTTCAAAAATGTTTTGCCCAACATAAGAAGATTTTTGCTGTAAAATAAATATAATAAATAATATAAATAATAGTTAATAAGTTAAGATTAACACATCAAGTAGATTGTACCAGTAAAACTTAGGTTGAATTGATTCAGCTTCTCTAAAATATTCTAATGCTTCTTCGTATGTCGACTCAGGAATTTCAGTGCCAAATATAATTGATCCAAGTTTTCTACGAAACCAAGAGGTATCAGCAAGATTGTAACACCTAAAGATTGTATAAATATATTTATATATTATTCAATGTGTAAAATAAAAAATAATATCCAATCAATAAAAAAGAATTATGAATTCTATTTTAACTGATAAAAGGGTTGAAGTTAGTTTAAATTAAGCTTCTTACATTATTTCATTACTCATATTTTAGTTTTTAAAATTGGAATTACATATTACTAACTAGTCCTTTCTACCTCTACCATACATTTAAATTTGTACAAGTATAAAAATAGCCTTACCAATAACCAATCATGTATCGTATAAATGGATCTTTTGGGTTTAGTTCCAATGCCATCTACAAAAAAAATAATAGGTAATAAATCAAGTGATACAATAATTGTTAAAAGGATGATATACCCGTGTAACCCCCTAACCTTTGTGTTGATCCTACCTTGCAAACATAGAACATGGTAAATCTGTGTTCAGTGGAATTGATTTTGTGATGTTGCATTCATAATTTAATATTAAGAGTGAATTGAAATATAATGAAACTTTAAGGTAAGAACGTTATCTATTATCTGCTTTATTACAATATTTCAATTTTTAAGTAGGTTATGAGTATATAAAATATTTTATTTTTTTATTTTTATTTTTATTTGTAAACTAGAAAATTATACAATCTATACAAATAAGTCCAATAGGCAATAATGTATGGTTTCTTATAAATTATGTGTGATGGCTTGATTTCTTGGGGGAAGAAACCATCCAGTGAAGGTACTTCGGCATGAGTTTACATTATATGGGTGTTAAATATTCATATTATGTTTACATTATAAGATCACGAGGACATTGCCGTTTGAGTCTTCTAGGAGGATTATCTGGAATGGAGATAGATAGAAGCTTTTTCATATGGGGATTGGTGTGATTTTGGAGGCGATTCCTAAATTTTTTGTAGTAAAGCTTGGCTGTTTCAGTGACTTTAGGAACGTGAAGATCTGTGTGCAGAGTGTGGTTAGAAATATAAGGTGGAGCATTGGTTATGAGACGGAGGATTTTTGATTGGAACACTTGTATTTTTCGTGTGTTTGATATTTTTGCCGTGCCCCAGACTTGAATGCCATAGAGCCAGATAGGTTTAAGTAGAAGATTATAAATGTGAATTTTGGTTTTGAGAGATAGTATATAAAATATAAAAATATAAAATACTCATATATAACTTGCTTCAAAATTAAAATATTGTAAAAGAACAATGAGAGATAACAGACAATGCTCTTACATTCAAGTTTGGTTTAAGGTCAATTTAGTCTTAATATTAAAGCTAACAATATAAAATCGGTTTTACAGAATTAAAGCACATTTGCTATGTTTTACATTTCTAAGACACTGACAAAACATTCAGGTATAGCATCCTTTTAATGTTAATAAAGTAAATGTCTGGCTTCACATACTTGTAAATGAAATTTTACAGTTTCCAATTTAAGCAATTGTTCTTTTATTCCTAAATTGATATTACTGTATGCATCAATTAAGACAGCAGCCCATTTGTGAACTTCAGATATATTCGAATCAATGCTTAATGCTTTAATAATAGATTCATGTGCTGATGATATCAAAGATTTCTTTTTCTCCTTGCTAATGTTCTCATCTAAACTCATATTGTATTCAGCTTTGCTCAAACGCCATAGTACTTGTACGTCATTTTTGTCCTAGAATAAATAATGTAAACAATTATGACTATTGGGTTAACAAACATAAAAATATGTTAAGTTTTAATTTTTAGTAGTCACAAATTGATAACTGAATGTTAACGATCAAAGTTATAAAAGTTATTAACTATTTAAATGCGGCTTACTAATAAATAAATACCCTAAAAAATTATTTTAAAAATAATTGATTTTAAGAGGACGCTACACCCGCATGTGTTGTCTCCGTCATCCAACGTACAACATATCAAAAACTGTTTTGTGTGAAATAGAACCACTCAAGCTGTAGTCCAAGCTAAGCAACCAAATTTTCACACTATAAACCAGAGAATATTTACTGAGCAACATCGTTTTTATTTTTTCGATATCACAAATACAAGAAAAGTTATTCAAGTTTGAAATAATTAATTTATGAGCAATAAGAACTTTTCTTGTATTTGTGATATCAAAAAATAAAAACGATGTCGCACAGTGAATGTTCTCTTGTTTACAGTGTGAAAATTTGGGTGATTAGCTAGGACTACAGCTTAAGTGGTTCTATTTTGCTTAAAATAGTTTTTGATATGTTGTACGTTTGTAAGACGAAGACAACACGTCATGCGGGTGTAGCATCCTCTTAAGTTAAGAATAAGGGAAAAATTAGTTGATTCAAACTTTGAATGATGCAAACAATTAATTCAATAAGTAATAACACCTGTAAAATAGATACATGGATAGGACAGCATGATGAAGGTATTTATTAGAAGTAACAAGTGCTTCAAAAACTTAAAAATTTTTAAATTTCAATTTTTACCACTTCTTGAAAGTATTAACCTATTGACTACTATAAATAAAATAAAAAAGAATACAACTGCATGAGAATATTTTAGGTAATCTTCATTTGCACTTACATACATAATAATATATTGTTTAGAGTTATTTTTGAGCTCTACTAATTACATAGCAATAAAAACAATAATATCAAATGTAATCACCTTGTACTCTCCAAGTAAACGTACAACGTCCTCATACTTATTCGCCAGAAAAAGCTGATCAGCTTCAATAAGTTTTTGTTGCAAGATTAGTTTGTCATCGTCGACGTCCAAATCGCGTTCGTTGGCTTGTGTTAAGCTTGTCTTTTTGTTGCCAAAGAAGGGAAGGGCTAGGCTCAACGTCACCGGAAGTCGGATCTGCGAAGACAATGAAATTTTACAAGTCAGGCACATCTTAATTCTTAGGCCACAAATCGACTTCTGCCTAATCCCTCACAGTCAACTAGTTTAACTCACATTTTTATGTAACTAGAATACCACTGTTTATGATGAGCATATTACGACATATACCTAATGTGTGTAAGGAGCATTTACTAACTCTACGTCACAAAGCTACAAATTGGTATGAGTAAAAGAAAAACAACAAACATAATTTTATCCATAAATAATTATTGTCATCGACACAAAGCTAGGAAAATCATTTTAAATAGATTTTGTCAGTCAGTACCATAGCTAAGATTCTTTTTTGGGGGGGACCATATTTAATTGTTAGGGTACTACGGGGTATAGTAAGTTTGATATTTCGGTGGGGGGCTTAAGCCCTAAAGCCCCCTTACCTATAGCACTGTAATCAGTCAATCAAATAATAAACTTGGGTTGATTAATTTATTATTCATCAAAAAAATATTGATTTTCTACCAGAAATGTTTGGTAAAACACAATCTGTTAAGTTTATAAATTGTTGAAGTTTGATCCCGGGACAATTTTCCGCTCCAAAACACTTTATCGGGACAAAGGGACACCAAAAACAAAATCGGAACGGTCCAGGCCAAGCTACGACGTATGACAATAGCAACCCAAGCTGTGAACCTCACATTTGGAGATGACTTGATGGCACGATGGACCTGCCGGTATCCAACAGTCCTTGCGAACGATTCGTAAACGAACCAACTGATCTGTTTCACCCGGTTCCGGAACATTTCTGAAGCGTAAACGAAATAGTCCGAGTCGCTGCGAGCTCGCGAGGCTGCGAATGTGTGGTTTAATATCCTTGGCCACCGACCGGAAGTATCGCAGATTTAACTAGTAAGTATATCGTATACAATACAAGCAGTAAGTACTAAACATAATAAAATAAATAGTAATCAATAATATTATTGTAGTTTCGACTTTTTGCCAATTAATTGAACTTCGATAGTTCGATGTTGCATTAAATTATTATCACGTTACGGCGAAAGACGACACTTGATAACAGTTTGTTTACGAAATTTCAATGGTCAATAGTCCTTGGTAGCATAGAGTATAGACCACGGTCGTATAAGAGTGTTTCATAAACGTGACCGCGGTATACTACATTTAAAAGGCTATTCAGATCTATTTTTAAGATATTATCTTAATTCTTAAGTCGTGGTCATATTTGCATTCGTGTTTTTTATTAATATTCTGTTTCTTTTGTACGCTTTGAAAATTAAAAATAAATACATTTTAAATATGAACTGTTATACTTTGTTGATATTGGTAAGTGAAATATACAATTTGAACAATTTGATACAATTCGATAAAATCAATCGATTGGTACAGCACATTCTGATTACATTTTACATTCTACATTAAAAAAGTTCAAAATTTAATACTTCCTTGTTGTACGAAACTACCTTGTTTTGTAATCCTGCAATTATCTAAGATCAACAAATTTGCCCTCTCATCACAGACTTCCTCATTTTTATTTATATTAACTTTTTATATTCAATTAATTTCACATTTTTTAAATATAATATATTATACATTTAAAACTAATTAAAGAAAATATTTAAATACACAGTAATCATTCGTACTGTATTCGTATTATTAGGTATATTGTGTGGTAATGCACTAATGCGTAGTATATTTTATAAGCCGTACATGGTACATGGTACACGCTACAGTCGGCGTACGGCCACGGACAAACTGACTATTGATTAATAAATAATAATAAGATAAAAAGTATTACAATTCATAATATTATCGTCTATAATAATAATATAGGTAATGATGGCTTATTGTAAATTGCGAAGCTGGTATGAGGAGCATGGATATCGTGGTAGTCTCGTATAACCTAGGGTGACCATAAAAATAAAATAAAAATACGGGACACTTTAGTTACCTAACTAAAAAAAAAAAAAGGAAATTCTAATTTTAACTAAATATATTAATATAAAAAAAAAAATTAAATGTATGCTGTATAATAGTTTTTAAATACAAATAAAATATTAATAAGTATAATATGTACACAAAAATCCAAAAAAAAATTATTTTGATGATGATGGCACGTAAATTTCTTAATTTAGAAATAATTTTTAAAAACAAATTAGGTAGTATGGTATACTGAATTTTAAATAAGCTTAATAAACTTCACGCTACTACATCACTACGAATACGACTACACTGAATGTCATCGTGAAGATGTGAACTCGACACTCACGTATAAATATTAATAACAAATTATATTTATAATTTTACATAGATATTATAAAATAAAAATAGACATTATATTTGACAACAAACTGGTTGTGGCGGATGGAATTGTACTTATTTAGTAGACGACGTCACACATCAATATACCTAATAATATTAATAACATTTTGTAGGTTTAACGTTGTCGATAATAATGTGACATTATTAGTTCTCTATTTTCAAACCCAAAGCAATTATAATAATTTGTTGTCAAGACAAGAATCTAAAAATAATGCTGATAAGTATAGATTAGATGTTCTATTGAATATTGTGATACAAAAATATCGTAGAATAAAAAATAAAATAAAAAAATAATAAATTAACAATAGAGAGAAAAACGGGATTAATACGGGACCTACTTGAGAATACGGGACAAAATGCGTCCCGTATAACTTTTGTCGGGACAACGGGACACAAAGTGGAAAAACGGGACAATCCCGTATAATACGGGACGTATGGTCACCCTAGTATAACCCGCACTCGTCAATCGTAATTCGTAGTATCGAATATCGATGTACCTCATACTCGCATTGTCGCAATGTCGTTGTCCATTGTCTCTATTATCTATTATCCATCGTTATTAATGTTATTATCATAGATCTATTAACTTGTTGATACGTCTATGGTCATTATCCACTTTGCTAATTTGCTTTCATCCATGATAGTCCATATTTATATTTAGATGATAAAAATATAAAATACCTGTACAACTGTTAAAAAATTAATTAAATGTCAATATTCTGACTATGTCCTATGTTTTCACAGTTTCACCCTGTCTGCCAAGTGCCAACTGTTTCTAGTGCTTCCTTTCGGCAGTACACGTCACGTACTCAAGTACTTTAAAGTGTTTTCTACATGGTCCAATTGTCAAAACAAGTTCTCTAATGATACCATGATAGTTTGATACGTCATTTCTTCGTTCATCGACTTTTTCATATATTGTTTATGCAGTATCTAAAATTGTAAGTACACGTTCACGTTTTTTTGTAGTTTAAAATAAAGTGATAGTATTATGATATTATTCCTTTCAAAATCATTCAATTGAAATTAAATGTATACTTAATATGTGTTAAATGTATTTTGATCAATTTGAACTAACTTTGTTCAATTAAAAAAAGGAAATATAAATAATTGAACTTTAAATGAAAAACGGTTATAGGTAGGTACTCAATTAATTTTGTGGTTAGAAAAGTTAGGTTTTGCATTTTAGGTAGTTTTTAAACAGTTAGGTGTTGTGATTAAATTTATGTACCTTTTGCAACATTTTTGAGTTGGTAAATTTAATATGGGTAGAGATGTTTGTAGTGAAATACAGATAATCATAGAATACGAAGAATTTGAATATTTAATTAAATAGGTAATTTTTAATAGACTATAATCCTAAAGCGACTGATTAGTTGCCTTAAATATATAATACTATGTTTTATGATGTCACTTTGATGTTATACAAATTATTTGTGTAGCTGTGTCCATAAAAACTGAATAACATTGGATTACAAAACAAATTGAATGATTCATATGTACAATACTAAATACAAATTGTAGGTTTATTATGTATAATAACTAATTTGACTAATGAAAAAAACGTTGAAAATCTTAAAGTACAATTGAGTTATTTATTCTATATTTTTTTAACTGCTTAATTTCATGCAAAACTTACTAAGAAATTTTGCAATTTATTTTCCAAGTGCCTACTCAATAAGCTCCATCCCTAGTTTATATTACGTGTATAGACAATATTTAATTGAAATATTTTTAAGCAAAATAGGTTCTTTAGTAATCACAGTATCTTATAAATTTATTTTGACTTTGGGTTGGTAATCAAATTAATATATTATAATTGAAGTGCTTGTTTTAATTAATATTGATAGGTTAGATCACGTTTAGCTCAGTTAACATGAAAATTAGAGTGAATTGACATCTTATTAAAATTAAAGATAAGATTATTACTGAGGGCTTCTTATGGGCATTTTATTATATTTTAATTTTAAAGAGAGTTATGAGTATTTAAAAATTGTAAATTAAATTAAATTAAAAAATGTAATTAAATTGTTGTTTGTACTATTTAAAATACTCATAACTCTATTTAAAATTAAAATATAATAAAAAACCCATGAGAAGCCCTTCGTAATAATCTTACCTTTAATTTTAATAAGAGGTCAATTCATTCTAATTTTTAAGCTAACTGAGCTAAACGTGATCTGCTGAGCTTAAAATGTGGTATGTTATGCACTTGTAAGAGACCCATGTGTGAGACAACACATTTGGGTATCACTTTTTCTTACAATTAATCACAATGAACGATCATCCTTTAAAACATATTAATATAAAAACGATTAATTTTTATTAACTATAAATTAATGAAAAGTTTTTTTAAAATTATATTATGTCTTACAGAAAATAATAAAACCAATTTTGTCGAGGACTTGTCTTTTGTAAAAATAACAACAGCTGAAAAAATGATTTTCCCGAAAGTTATTAGGTCTTACCAAAAATATGGTTAGTCTTATTTTGTCATTAAATAAACTTAGTGCTCTTAGCATTTAGGGATCCTCTACTATTGTGGTTAGGTTCCTTGTTAAGGGTAGGACCAGTCAACATTTTTGTCTCTTTGGCTTTTTTTAGTGGGCTTTTTTATGTTTTTTTTGTCAGAAGGTATTATAAGATGTATTTAATACCTAGGTAATTATTTTATAATAATTGTCTTCAATTTTTTTTTATTGTAAAGTTACTTAAAAATATTTTTATTCATAAATATTAATGTGTTAATTTGTAGCATAATCAAATAAAAATGCATAAAATATATTAATCAAATTATTTTATATCATTGTAATTTTGAACAATATTTATTAAATTAGTTATTTTTCCCACTTTTATAAATAATTAAAATATGATAAATAAATCACATGTAATGCCTATTTTTGATTGAAAGATATTAATTTTAAGAAATATTTGTGAATTGAAAATCTTTAAAATTCATGAATTATTCTGAAAAATAATAGCTATTTAAATTGTATTAATGATTTTTAATGTATTAATTTTAGAATGAGTAAGTATGAAATAAAATCATGAATGCTAATGATATGATACATTAGCTACCTAGTGAAACCAATGATCACTCAAAACAATCCATAATGGATGTTGGTGAAACAATTGAATCTGACTGGAAAGAAGTGGTGGACAACTTTCATGACATGAATTTAAAAGAAGGATTGTTGTGTAGCATCTACGGATGTGGTTTTGAAAAACCATCACCTATTCAACAGCGAGCTATTTTGCCATGCATCAAGGGACACAATGTTATTCTTCAAGCAAAATCTGGTACTGGAAAGACAACTTGTGTTTTGATTTCTATTCTCCAACAAATAGACACTTGCTTAAACAATTGCCAAGCTCTCATTTTGGCCCCAACACGTGATTTGGCTTTGAAAATTCAAAAGGTAAGCTTAGCTTACTTGATATGATTTTGACCTAGTTATAAAATAATAAATATAATCTCGTTATTAGATGGTTTTCAATTTGGGCGAGTTCATGAAAATATGTTGTTGTGTTTACATTGGTGGAACAAACATTCGTGATGATATGCGTGAAATGAAAATTGGATCACATATAGTTGTTGGCACTCCTGGCCGTGTTTATGACATGATTGCTAGGAACTCCCTACAAACTCAATTTGTCAAAAAATTTGTGTTGGTTGACGCTTCAAGACTTTTATCTCCTAGTTTTGACGATCAAATTAAAAATGTGTTAAAGTCCCTTGAAGAAGCTACTCAGGTCATTTTGTTGTCTAATCAAACATCCATGACATTTTTGGAGAAGAGCACTCACTACATGACTAATCCTATACACATTCTTATGCAAGAAGAACTAGCATTGGGAGGTATGTCATGTAAAATTACTCTAATGTATTGTTATTTCTTAAAATTAATATTAAATTATTATTTATTTTTTATTTAGCTATTAAACAATGTTACGCCAATAGTACTGAGGAAAATGATAAAAAAAATAGACAACCTGGTGATGGCAATAACTATTCGGGACCACTGGTCACAGTTTATAGTGGAACTAGTGAGTATGACTGGAGTAAAGTGGTGAAAAACTTCCATGAGTTGAATTTAAAAAAAGAATTGCTACGTGGAATGTGTGAATATGGTTTTGAAAAACCATTAGATATTCAAGAGCGAGCCTTTTTACCATGTATCATGGGACATGATGTCATTATTCAATCTCCGCCTTGTACTGGCAAGACAACTTCTGTTTTGATCACCATTCTCCAAAATATCGATACTAGCTTGAACGAGTGTCAAGCATTAATTTTAACATCAACTCATAAGTTGACGAAGAAGATTATAAAGGTAAACTTAGTTTTAAATTTTTATGATTACAGTATCTATTGTTGAGGTATTTTGAGTACACAGGGAGTTAAAAATGTCACTCTCCTATGTTCTTTTATTTTATAAAAATAATCTCATTTTGTAATCACTAGTTCATGAAAATGAACTATTATGGATTGTACTTGTTAACCTGTCTGTGCGCCATCACAACTACTTATAATATAACATTTTTTTTAGGTGGTTAATGGTGTTGGTGACTTTATGAAAGTAGATTGTCAGGCTTGCATTGATGGAAAGACAATTTGTAATACTATGCGTAAGATGGATACTTTTCCCCATGTAGTGGTGGGCACTCCTGATTGTATTTCAAATTTGATAGCGGGGAATTTACTACGGACAAAATTTATCAGTATATTTGTGTTGGACGAATCAAATTATATTTTGAATCGTGGTTACAAAGATCAAATTAAAAAGGTGTACATGTCCCTTGCAAAAGATATTCAGGTTGTTTTTTTGTCCAATCAAATGTCCAAGAATGCTTTAGATGTCCTGCTTGAGATCACTCACTTACTGAGAAATCCGGTACATATTTTTCTACAGACAGAAATACTAACATTAGATGGTATGTAGAATAAACTTAATTTTTATTAGTTCCGAAGTTAATTTTAATCTAATATTTTTTATTTAGCTATTAAGCAGTTTCACATCAATATTAATAAAGAAATTGAGACAAAAAATGAACATCCTAGTGAAACTAAAGATTGCTCACTCGTGGAAAATGGTGAAACAATTGAATCTGACTGGAAAGAAGTGGTGGACAACTTTCATGACATGAATTTAAAAGAAGGATTGTTGTGTAGCATCTATGGATGTGGTTTTGAAAAACCATCAACTATTCAACAGCGCGCTATTTTGCCATGCATCAAGGGACACAATGTTATTGTTCAAGCAAAAATTGGTACTGGAAAGACGACTTGTGTTTTGATTTCTATTCTCCAAAAAATAGACACTTGCCTAAACAATTGCCAAGCTCTCATTTTGGTCCCAACACGTGATTTGGCTTTGAAAATTCAAAAGGTAAGCTTAGCTTACTTGATATGATCTTGACCTAGTTATAAAATAATAAATATAATCTCGTTATTAGATGGTTTTCAATTTGGGCGAGTTCATGAAAATATGTTGCCGTGTTTGCGTTGGTGGAACAAACATTCGTGATGATATGCGTGAAATGAAAACTGGATCACATATAGTTGTTGGCACTCCTGGCCGTGTTTATGACATGATTGCTAGGAACTCCCTACAAACTCAGTTTATCAAAATATTTGTGTTGGTTGACGCTTCTAAACTTTTATCTCCTAGTTTTGACGATCAAATTAAAAATGTGTTAAAGTCCCTTGAAGAAGCTACTCAGGTCATTTTGTTGTCTAATCAAACATCCATGACATTTTTGGAGAAGAGCACTCACTACATGACTAATCCTATACACATTCTTATGCAAGAAGAACTAGCATTGGGAGGTATGTTATTTAGGATTACTCTAACTGTTATTTCCTAAATTAATATTAAATTAAGTTTTATATATTTGTTATTTAGCTCTTAAACAGTTTTACGTCAATGATCCTAAGGAAAATGATAGAATTATTGAACATCCTACTGAAACTAAGGATTACTCTTGGTCAACCATAGATGATGGTGGAAAAATTGAGCCTGAATGGAGAGAATTGGTGGACAATTTTCGTGGCATGAACTTAAAAGAAGAACTGTTAAGTGGTATCTATAAATATGGTTTGAAAAAGCCAACACTTATTCAACAGTGTGCTATTTCGCAATGCATCATGGGGCATGATGTCATTGTTAAATCTCCACCTGGTACTGGTAAGACAACTTCTGTTTTGATTTCCATTATCCAACAAATTGATCCTAGTTTAAACGAGTGCCAAGCACTTATTTTAACACCAACAGATAAGTTGGCTATACAGATCCAAAAGGTAAGTTTAGATGTTATGAATATATTTTTAAACAGTTAACAATATACAAATAAAATCGATTTTAGGCGGTTATTGCATTTGGCGACTTAATAAAAGCAGATTGTCATGCTTGCGTTGGGTGGACAAACCCTAATTCTAATATGCATGAGCCAAATACTTCATTCCATGTAGTGGTTGGCACACCTAATAATGTTTTTGCCTTGATTGCTAAAAAATCACTACACACTAAATATATCAAAATATTTGTGTTGGATAATGCTAATAAATTATTGGCTAATACAAATGAAGATCAAGTTAGAAATGTGTTCAATTTTCTTGGAAAAGATACTCAGGTCATTATGTTGTCTAGAGAAATGGATAAAAATGTTATAGATGCGAGTACTTATTTTATGCTTAATCCTATAAAAATTCTTGTGGATAAAAAAATGAAAGAATTGAAAAGTGTGTAGAATAGACCTAATTTCTGTTATTTCCTTAGTTAGTTTTTAATTAATTATTATTTATTTAGCAAATAAAACGTTTCATATCAACATTAATAAGGTAAATTATACAAACGATAGACATCTTATCAAAACTAAGGATTACTCAGGAGGTCTTTTGGACGATGGTAGAAAAATTGAGCCTGACTGGAAAGAATTGGTGGACAATTTTCGTGATATGAACTTAAAAGAAGAACTGTTAAGTGGTATTTATGAATATGGTTTAGAAAAGCCAACACCTATTCAACAGCGTGCTATTTTGCCATGCATCATGGGGCATGATGTCATTGTGAAATCTCCAGGTGGTACTGGCAAGACAACTTCTGTTTTGATTTCCATTATTCAAAAAATTGATCCTAGTTTAAACGAGTGCCAAGCACTTATTTTAACAACAACAAAAAAGTTGGCTAAACAGATTCAAAAGGTAAGTTTAGATGTTATGAATACATTTTTTATAGTTTACAATATACAAATAAAATCGATTTTAGGCGGTTATTGCATTTGGTGACTTAATAAAAGCAGATTGCCATGCTTGCGTTGGGTGGACAAACCCTAATTCCAATATGCATGAGCCAAAGAATTTATTCCATGTAGTGGTTGGCACACCTAATCGTGTTTTTCCCTTGATTGCTAAAAGATCACTAGATACTAAATATATCAAGATATTTGTGTTGGATGAAGCTAATGAATTATTGGCTCATAAAAACCAAGATCAAGTTAAAGATTTGTTCAATTTTCTTGGAAAAAATACTCAGGTCATTATGTTGTCTAGAAAAATGGATAAAAATTTTGTAGATGCGAGCACTTATTTTATGCTTAATCCTATAAAAATTTTTGTGGATAAAAAAATAAAAGAATCAAAAAGTGTGTAGAATAGACTAATTTGTATTATTTCCTTAGTTAGTTTTTAATTAATTATTATTTATTTAGCAAATAAAACGTTTCATATCAACATTAATAAGGTAAATTATACAAATGATAGACATCTTATTAAAACTAAGGATTACTCAGAAGGTCTTTTGGACGATGGTAGAAAAATTGAGTCCGACTGGAAAGAAGTTATGAACAACTTTCATGATATGAATTTGAATGAAGAATTGATTTGTAGCATCTATAAATGTGGTTTTGAAAAACCATTAGATATTCAACAGCGAGCTATTTTGCCATGCATAATGGGACACAATGTCATTATTAAATCTCCACATGGTAGTGGCAAGACAACTTCTATTTTGATAAACATTCTCCAACAAATTGATACTAGTTTGAACGAGTGCCAATCACTAATTTTAACACCAACTCGTAAATCGGCTAAGGAGATTAAGAAGGTGAGCATAGTTGAATGATATGATTTTAAACTAGTTATAAAATAAAAAATATAATTTTGTTTATAGATGTTTGTTGTTCTGGGTGAATTTATTAAAGCACATTGCCATGTTTGCATTGGCAGAAAAAACATTTGTGTTGATTTGCGTGAGTTGCAAATGGGTTCACATGTACTGGTCGGAACTCCTGGCCGTGTTTATGACGTGTTGACTAGAAGCTCATTGCAAACTCAATTTATCAAGATATTTGTGTTAGATGAAGCTTTTAAAATGTTATCTGATGATAGCGTTGACAATCAAATTAAAAGAATTTTCCAGTGCCTTGTAGAAGATACTCAGGTTATTTTATTATCTAATCAAATGTCCAAGAAAGTTTTGGATAAGAGCACTCAATACATGAGGAATCCTATTCACATTATTGAACAGGAAGGAGAACTAACATTGGAAGGTATTTTATGTAAAAATATTAAAATTGTTGTTATTCTGATATTTCCTTAATTTACATTTAATTAATTATTATTTATTATTTATTTAGCTATCAAACAATTTTACGTCAACAATACTAAAAAAAATGAAGCAAATAATGGTGGACCTATCAAGTATGACTGGGATGAGGTGGTGGACAACTTTCATGAGATGAATTTAAAAGAAGAATTGTTACGTGGTATCTTTGACTATGGTTTTGAAAAGCCTACAGCTGTTCAACAGCGCGCTATTTTGCCGTCAAACAAGGGACATGACGTCATTATTCGGGCTCAATCTGGTACTGGAAAGACAACATCTGTTTTGATTTCTATTCTGCAACTAATTGATACTAGTTTAAACGAGTGCCAAGCACTAGTTTTTACACCAACATTTGAGTTGGCCCAGCAAATTCAAAATGTAAGCTTTATTTTATTCAATTAGATATTGAACATTTTTCAATAAAACTTAATTTTTAGATTGTTACTGCTTTGGGTAAGTCAATGAAAGCAAATTGCCATGTTTGTAAAAGTATTCGTGATTATAACTTCAAACTAGATTCCATCTCCCATATTATAGTTGGAACAAACTCTTGTATTTCTGATTTGATTGCTAGAAAATATATAAGGACAAAATTTATCAAGATATTTGTGTTGGACGAAGCTAATGAGCTAATGTCTCAACCTTTCAAAGATCATATTAAAATGGTTTTTAAGTTTATCGAAAATGATATGCAGGTAATTTTTTTGTCTAATCAAATGTCCAAGAATGATTTGGATTTGGACGATATGACTCACTTCCTGAAAAATCCTGTACGGATTCTTCTACAGAAAGAAAAACTAACATTGAATGGTATGTGGAATAAACTTTATTTTATTTATTTCCTTAGTTAATATTTAATTACATTTTATTTATATAGCCATCGAACAGTTTGACATGAATATTACTAAGGAACCTGAGATAAACAATCAACATCATGGTGAAACTAAAGATTGCTTTGGATTACTCATGGACGAAGGTGAAGCAATTGCGTCTGACAGGGAAGAAGTTGTAGAAAACATCCATGGTATGTGGAATAAACTTTATTTTATTTATTTCCTTAGTTAATATTTAATTACATTTTATTTATATAGCCATCGAACAGTTTGACATGAATATTACTAAGGAACCTGAGATAAACAATCAACATCATGGTGAAACTAAAGATTGCTTTGGATTACTCATGGACGAAGATGAAGCAATTGTGTCTGACTGGGAAGAAGTTGTAGAAAACATCCATGAGATGAATTTAAATGATGAATTGTTGCGTGGCATCTATGAATATGGTTTTGAAAAGCCTACAGCTATTCAACAGCGCGCTATTTCGCAATGCATCAAGGGGCATGATGTTATTGTCCAGGCACAATCTGGTACTGGAAAGATAACTGCTGTGTTGATTTCAATCCTCCAACAAATAAATACTAGTTTGAACAAGTGTCAAGCCCTCATTATGGTACCTTCATTTGAGATTGCTCATCAGATTCAAAATGTAAGTTTATTTTTTTAATTACATTTTGAATTGTGTAAAACTTTAAATGATAACCTCATTTTTAGGTGCTTAATGTGTTGGGTAAATTCATGAAAGCAGAATGTTGTGCTTGCACTGGCTTAAAGAACGTCTACGATTATGTACGTGAGCTGAATACTTTCCCCCATGTAGTGGTTGGGACTCCTTCTTGTGTTCATGATTTAATTAATAAATGTCTTTTACGGAGTAAATTTATCAATATATTTGTATTGGTGGAACCTAATTTATTGTTTTATCGAGGTAGTAAAGTTCAAATTGTAAAGGTGTTCAAGTCCCTAGAAGAAAATACCCAGGTTATTTTATTATCTAGTCAAATGTATAAAAAAGCTTTAGATGAGAGCACTCAATTTGTGAGTAATCCGGCACTCATTATTATGCAGAAAGAAGAACTAACACTGGAAGGTATGTAGAATAACAAGTTTTCGTACTTTGTTAGATCTACATTTAATTTATAATTAATAAAAATAAAAATAGATAAACTTAATATTTAGCTTTCAAACAATTTTACATCAACAATTCTCAGAAAATTGAGACTCTCAATGGACGTTCCAGCAAATCTATTAACTACGTTCTGTACTCAGAACCACCTAAGATGGATGTTGGTGGGACTATTGACTCTGACTGGAATGTTGTGGTAGATAACTTTCATGACATGAATTTAAAAGAAGAATTGTTGCGTGGTATTTATCAATATGGTTTTGAAAAGCCATCCTCTACTCAACTGCGTATTTTTTTGTCATGCATTATGGGACATGACATTATTGTTCAGACTCAATCTGGTGTTGGAAAGACAACTGCTGTGGTGATTTCAATTCTTCAACAAATAGATACTAGTTTGAACGAGTGCCAAGCACTCATACTGGTTCCGTCAGTTGAGTTGGCTCGCCAGATTCAAAAGGTAAACTTAGTTTTTATAATTAAAATTTGAAATGTTTATAATACAACATTGATTTTAGGTGGTTATTGATTTGGGTAAATTCATAAATGCAGATTGTCATGCTTGCATTGGTATTGAACAGTATTGTGGTTATATTCAAGAGCCATATACTGTCTCCCATATCGTGGTTGGGACACCAGCCTGTGTTTCTGATTTGATTTGTAGAAAATCACTAAGAACTCAATTTATCGAGACATTTATGTTGGAGGAACCTAATAAACTGTTGTCTGGGAGTATCAACATTCATATCGAAAAGATCATAGGATCCCTTGATAAAGGTACTCAGGTGATATTATTATCTAATCAAATGTCCGAAAAATCTTTTTATGAGAGCTCTTACTTCATGAGTAATCCAGTACACATTTTTATGCAGAAAGATGTATTAACATTGGATTCCAATTTGGAAGGTATGCGTAATAAGTCGTTATCAATACTTTCTCAATTATAAACCCTTATTGTTGTTATTTCTTTATTTGATTTTTAATTAAGTGTTATTTAAATAGGCATAAAACATTTTTTTGTCAACTTCACCATGGAAGAATGTAAATTTGACAGTTTATGCAATTTGTTTGATACTCTAAGTATTACCCAGGTTGTGATATTTTGTAACACATGCTATAAAGTAGAGTGTTTGACTGAGAGTATGCGTTTGAAAAGATTCAACGTATCGGCTATGCATCGAGAAATGGATCGTCAGCAAAACATTAAAACTTTGTTTCACTTCCATTCTGGCTCTATTCGTGTACTAGTCACCACTCATATGTTTGTTCGTACTATTGATGTACAACAAGTGTCTCTGGTTATCAACTATGATTTGCCATCTGATTGCGAGAACTTTATTCATGATATAGAACGTTCTTGCTATGTTGCACTTAAAGGAGTCGTCATTAATTTCATCATCGAGGACGAAAATCAATCAAAGTATGATATTGATTAATGAATAATTGGTGTATAACACTCACATAATTGATATGCGTTCTTCTAACATAAATATCATGAGATGAATAACCATAATATTATCTTAAATACATATTTGAATTAATAATTGTAGTTTGCCGTAACATAAGATAATTTAAATTTGATGATTTGTATAAACAATCAAAATACCACTTTATTTGATGATTAAAAAAAAGGGGGTTATGATATTCACCAAGTCCTCCCACCGCTTCAAATCTGCCACTGGTTTCTTTTTATTTCGCTTACAAATTTACAATTTGGCACCAAATGTAATTACTGTGATAAATTATGATTATGGTACATAATAATCCTTTGAAGTAAGATTCAACCATTTGACAGATAAATATTTTGTTAATTTTTATCTTGGTTTGTACAAGCCAAGATAGTTTTCACTTTTTAATAATCATAAATGTTTTTCTTTTTTACTTATACTTTGTGTACGTTAAGAATATGATTTTACCTATAACATAGGTAGAAGTTGGTTTTAGATTTTAAACCATTTTGTAACGTGCTTGGAGTTTAGTTTCAGTAATTTTAATTCTTGTGTATGACTATGAATTTTACGTATCTAGCGAAACCAATAACTACTCAGGACCACTCGTCACAGTTGACACGGGAAATATTGAGTATGACTGGAAAGAAGTGGTGGACAACTTTCTTGACATGAACTTTAAAGAACAATTGTTACTTGGTATCTGTAAATATGGTTTAGAAAACCCTACACCAATTCAACAGCGCGCTATTTTGCCATGCATCCAGGGGCATGATGTTATTGTTCAGGCCCAATCCGGTACTGGAAAGACAACTTCTGTTTTGATTTCCATTCTCCAGCAAATTGATACCAGTTTGAAAGAGTGCCAAGCCCTCATATTGGCACCTTCGCGGAAGTTGGCGCAGGAGATTCATAAGGTAAACTTAGTTTTTGTGATCACATTTGTAAATGTTTAATTACCACACTGTTTTTTAGGTGGTTATTGCTTTTGGCGATTTTATGAAAGCAGATTGTTATGCCTGCGTTCATCAAATTAACACGGAAGACATTTTTCCTCCTGTACCCCATCATATAGTGGTTGGTACTCCCGCCTGTGTTCATGATTTAGTTATTAGAAAATGTTTACAAACTCAATTCATCAAGATATTTGTGTTGGATGAAGCTAATAAACTGTTGAATCAAAGTATCAAAAATTCAATTAATGGGGTGTTTAAGGAGCTCGAAGATGGTATTCAGGTCATTTTGTTGTCTAATCCAATGCCTGAGAACATTTTGGATGTGAGCACTCATTTCTTGCGTAATCCTGTACGCATTCATATGCAGAAATAGTTTTTTTTTCTAATTCTTAGTGTCATTAACATGGTAAGAAAGATTTATCGATTTGACAACTAGATATTTCAATAATAATTGGTTGTACAAAGATGAAGTTTTTAATTTTTAATGAAGCTAAATGTTTTTCTTTTTTATTTATTATTATTAATTTAAAGTTCTTGTGTATTATTTTGAATTATATTTATTTTTGAACTTTGTCGCTATAATATTCTACTGTTCACATCTAAACAATTATTTTGGCATCAATTTATGTTTTTACTGTTAAAAATGATAATAGCCTCTTAAAATGTATTTTGTAATTTGAATTATTCAGTAAATATATTTCTCATTACTTATTTATTGTTATTGAATGTTTTTTACTGATTGTAGTTATGGTTATTAATACAATTCCACTGAAAGTTCATTGAAAATTCCACTAATTATGACAACAAACTTGTCATGTTGAAATTGGGATTGCAAGTCGTGACGCATGAAATAAAAATGGATAGGACATTTTTCAAGTTTGTTATTTAATTAGATGGTATTTTGGGTAACGGACCTGTTATATTCGACTGACCGCCTATATACGTGATACGTATAAGAATAATAAGTGTAAGTGTAAGAACGTATTATTCCATTTTCGTTCAGTAATTGACTCAATAAAAGAAGTAACTTTCATGCTTTTTTTACAAATATCTACAATTTTTTTAAAATTCAGTTTCGAAATATTTTTGTTGTGCCTATACTATTGGAACAATTTTTTTGCGGGCGTCCGTGCATTTTTAATTCAAAAACACGTAGGTACTTACAGCTTACAGAAAAAAAATTCACGCCTTGTTGTACGGTCGAATTTTATTAATTTTTTTTGTATGTTATAGAGGATTACATTTTGCAGGTCGAATCCCAGGCCCAATTTTCAAAATTATAATTACACAAGCTATAGTATGCATATCGTAATAATGCACAATATTTGTTATTTTTCAAACGTAAATACGTTTCCACCACTATTTAAAGCAGTGGTTCCTACCTTTTATGAGCGCGACCCTAACATTTCAAATTCAACGTTCTATGACCCTTAAAAAAATCACAATAATTGCAAACTCAATTTTTTTTTTTATTGCGATAAATTTAAGTATAAAATAACAAAAAATTGATGAAATTACAAGTATTTATAATAAATAATAATCATAACGATTTTTTTCTCGATATGTTTGATATTAAATTAATAATTTAGTAAAATATTCTTTTTATGTTCACAATAATCATGCTGAAATAATATGAATTATATTGCACTGTCTCGACCAGCTTTAAAAACCTCCGCGACCCTAAATTGGGTACCTATGGTCGAATTGCACTTATTTTAGACGAACTGCACTTGGATTTAAAAAAAGGTATTCCAACAAAAATATCATGAATTTGAACGGGTGAACGTTTAGAAAGCACTCATTTCCTTTCCCACTTCCATGTTTATGAGTTATGACTGACAATGATTTTAATAATTCCCGTGGTTAAAAATGATTGTTTTATACATATTATTGTTCATTATGCTATTATAATATTATTAACATGACGTATTGAATCATCAAATATTGTTGTCATTATCATAACTTTTTTTTTAAAACTAATTTCTATCATTTTTTGTAGTAATAATATATAGGTACCTATTTATTATTTTTTTATTTTTTTTTAAATAATTTTTTGTAGCAATAAATTCAAAAACTCTAACCTGGTGAATGGTTGTACGCTTTTGGGCATAAAAGTTAATATGTACATTGTATATTTTTCAATATCATTTGTTTTTTTCTGGTACCGTGCAGTTGAAAGTCTTGATTGTGTCAGTTGTCTGCATTAAAATATATAAGTATCTATATTTGTAGTTGTGTTTAAACGTCAACAAATATAAATATATGAATGTCCATCGTTAGAAATACATATATATCAACTAAAATAAATAGTCACTAAATCCTCGAACAGCGTCGTTTTCTGCGATTGGGATAGTTTACATAAAATCATCTGTATAAGATTTTGAACAAGTGCAGTTCGGCCGTTACCTTTTTTAAACCCAAGTGCTATTCGACCATTTGTTTTAGGTAAAAAGTGAAAGTGACTGTCCCGCCTAAATTTGAGTCGTGATCTGACGTTGGGAACTTTTGATTCAAAGTAAAATGAAAATTGAGGCTTTCATTCGACATGAACATTTTCTCCTTTCAAATAAAAAAAAAATCATCAAAATTTGGCATATTAATGAGGCGTGGTAATTTTTCCTGACAAGTCAGTTTTGCTGATGAGTGCACCGTATCGTATGAACCTCCTTAGTCCTTCCTAAATATTTTTCGGATAGTAGATAAGTGGAAAAGTATAATAAAAATTAAGGTAGCATTTAAAATATAAAAAATAATTTTAACACTTTATAACATTGGGGAAAACTAGAAAAACCGGAACCGACACATTATTTATTACTTTTATTTTTTCTACATATGATTATTTTGTAAGATAACATCAAATTAATGTTAATTTGACTAAATAGTTATAGGTTCTAAGTGTTATTCAAATTTAGGTAAAACAAATTTTTAGTATGCAAAGTTGATCAAGTTAACCAATTGTTTTAACTATAGTTATATAGTTAATTTTAAAGCCATTCAAATTAAAAAATAACTTAGCTAAATTAAAGTTAATTTGAATATATGATTTTAGCGTTTTAAAATCAAATGTCGTAATTTCGGAGAAAATAATATAAGTATGTACCTTGTACCTACATTTCCTAATTATATTTCAATAAAGCACTAGGTACAATCTTTGGCAGATATCTCTCAGTATTTTAGAATTACCATAAAAGACTCGCGTGGATATCCATTGAACACATGTCCATCTTGTCATTTTTTAATAATATGTTATAATGATATTTACATATTAATAAGTAATTTTCGTTGAAAAATCAATGCAAAAAATATGCAGTTCATAATACGACATAATTTTACAATGATGTGTGTTTTTTGATTTTCGTTTATTTTTGTGTCTGCCATTACGGTTTGGGCAGTAAAAGTGCTTCGATTTGCAGCAACTTTTCCGGCAGGAAAGTGGATCTAGTTAATGCATTCGGGAGGTCAAAATTTGAAATTTCGAATAGTTTTCAAAAGCGACAGGAAATACAAACAAAACATTTAGGAAAAACTGGAATTTTTAGGCAAAACCAGTTTTTGAAAAACACGATTTTGGTTTCTAGTGTACCTAACTCTAAAAAAAGACTATATAGATACATGAAATTTTCACTGAATGTTTGTGTTATCATTCTATACACCATACAAAATTGCAGATGAACACAAAGAATAATGATTTTTGTCGTATTATAAAAATTCGGTTTCAAAACAGCCCAATTTTACATAAGCATATTTAATATTTTCCAGTATCACTGATAATTTAAGAATCATAATATTATGAATAATAATAGTAATTAATAGTAAGTAATAACAATATAAAATATCCTTGACTGATAAACCGTCTGATCAGAATCGTATTTTATATTGAATGATATTATATATCATCTATATAATTCAAATTTAATACCATCCACTAAAGCGACCTCCTAGACACCTAGTGTACAGCAAAACGATATCCACTTACCCTTTTTTTTTGTACTCGCACAATATTATATATTATGAGACGGCTATGTTAATAATAAAATATAAATTATCGCCGATATTATAGAAATAAATGTAAAATTTTGATCAAATTTTGGTATCAGTAATCCCTGCCTACTACTCTGCCACCACCGCCCAACCAACACATGCACACATATCTTATCGTGAATTATTTTTATATTGAATTTTGCGATTTCATTTTTATATTATATTCATTCGTTTTTAGCATAGTTTTCATTGTCGGACCGGTAAGTGGTATAATTTCCGAGTACATCACATACTATGCGAGTTATTTTTTCGCAGTTGTGTTGTTAAATTTTCATTTTTTGTGGGCCCAAATCGCCTCATTTTTATAATCTATTAATATTAATGTATACATTTGCGGTATTAATAATAAGGAATTAAAATGTTAGTATTATTTACAATGGCGTATCCAAAGCTAGTAGGGAGGGGGGGGGCGTTGACCCTGAATTAGAAAAATTAAATAATTATTTCTGTGAGGTCTACGAAAGTTACTTTCAAATACGAATTTTTATAGCCTTACAGAAATCGAAACCTAAAGTAAAGTCTCGCCATCAGTATGCTCAGCTCTTTGAGATCATTTTTTGTGGTGTCATCGCATGTGGGTGAACTGCTTGCACAGTACTAACCCCTATGCAACATCGTTTATTATTGAACAAAAAAATTAAAATTGCATTTCAAAATTATTGGAGACCCTAGGTAAAGCAACAGTGTTTATACGCTTTATCAGCCCCCCCCCAAAAAAAAATTCTGGCAACGCTACTGGGTGTTGTTATGTTCACCATATTATTTTGAATTAACAAACAATATTATATACTATTTTTGCTCTGTGTATGCAACAACGAAACATTTACTTATTTTATTTTATTGGCTCAGCGATTCATGAAATATTTTTATTAAAAATGTATGACATTTTTTTTTTTTTTAACAAAACTTAATTTCGCTCTGAAAGCCTATGAATTTTTTGTTGTATACACTTATGTAACCTACCTACCATTTGTACAATTTTTGTTTGTCGTATTTCATATCTTTTTCTTTAACGTTTATTACTTTTACTTTTACCGTTTTCTACATCAGCTACTATAAAACATAGTACCCACCAGAATAAAATTATTCTGCGAGATATTATCAAAATAATGTCGAAACGACGACGACGCTCAGAGTCTGAGTCTTTCGGGCTATTATGTATTAATATTTTATGCATTGCGCGCTCGTGCGTATAAAATATTATAGATTATATACCTATTATTTTTGCTACCGCCATACCATACTAGTCTCATTTATTAATATCATACTAATATGGCAATACATATTTTATATTATTCTGTTTTATTAATTTTATAAACTAAATTATAATTGCAGTTTTAGTTTTTGGACATGGGTCATGTGGGCCATAGTCCGACAGTGCGCAAACCGGGACTCCGGTTCACAACGCTGAATACTCTATGGCAGTGCGACCCGTGGACAATATTTGACATTTCATTGCTTCATATCTATGACGAAATCATGAGAAATTTGAAACAATAGTACGATGTGGATATAAAATCATTGCTAGTTGTGATTTGTGAAATTACGACCTGTGTGATGAGCGCTAGCTAATCTCTGTCCAAAGGTCAAACTGTGAAAAACAAACAAGTAACAGCCATAACTAAATTACATTATACATTAAGTCATGTTATTGCTATTTAAAATATTAAATATACATTTATTTCAATATTGTATAATATTAGATAATTAGGAATTTATGATTGTCTTTAGCTAATGGCTGTCCACAAATACCACAGACCACGTCGGTATTTCGTCCATACTCATTTTGTATACATGGCATATGTACATATTTCCGCTAACTGCTCTTCACTCTTCTGATTTCCTCTTGGTGAATCACATCACCAAGTTACGTAAAGTGTTTTCTACATTGTGTCAATGTCAAAACGAGACGAACGAGTTCATTTTTGAAAATCAAAGCTTGGCAAGTAGTAATTTTTTATCTAGTTAAGTTACTTTAATACAAAAACGAACTAAGTTAGAATATAAGTATTTTTCTGAAATGTTCTTAACTTCTTACTTAGTTAGTTAGAAATTAGTCTGGTGAAAATTATAACTTGGGTTAGAAGTTTTTAATATTTTAAAATATGAATTTAAAACCCTTATGTTCAAAATATGTTAAGTATTACATAAATTAATTTCTCGGTGTCTCGGTATCTAACTTATATTATTAGTGACGTAACAGATAATTTGATGAAATGTCTCAACTTTTAAGTTCTAAATACCAATGGTACTGAATGGTACTAATATCAATGACCTTATAACTTGGAAACGAATTGGGATATTATCAGTCATTTGAACACTGAAAATGTATAACAAAATAAGGGAAATATAGAAACAGTAATATGCTAATGTATCCGTATAATATCTATGTCAATTGGCCATTATAGATGTCGTAGTTAACGTGTCTTACAAGAAATAGGAGTATTGCAAAACTATTAATTAACTAATATAAATAATTAAGAGGACGTCACACTCGCGTGTGCAGTTGTCTCCGTCTTACAAATGTACAACATAGCAAAAACTGCTTCTCGTGGGACAACTTTTATCATTCTGTGTTTGTAGTAGTGGCTCCAAAATTTCTGAACATGTGGAGTAGAAAATTATCCACGAAACAGCTTGACTATACTTTAGATAACATAAATACAATAAAAGTTATTTGCTTCTAAACATTTTGTTCTTTGTTTTTTTCATTTGCTTATAAAAAACGATTGGATTGTGGAATTAAAAAAAAACACGCTGTTGCACAGATAAAGTTCTTCATTACGTGTTGTGAAAATTTGGTAGTTCTACAACAAATATGGGGCGAGAAAAGTTGTCCCGCGCAAAACAATTTTTGCTATGTTGTACATTTGTAAGACGGAGACAACACACTCGGGTGTGACGTCCTCTTAATAAGAAAAAATATGACAAGAAATATGTGTTTATCATGAAATTGAAAATACTCAATATTCATTGTTAATAAATTATTAAGGTAGTGGGCATTCAGCAATTTCGCAGAACATTTTGATTTTTGGAATGATAAAAATCTACAAAAAAAAAAATAGTTCCTCATTGTTTTTAACGAGTTAGATTAGAATACAATTTTACACATTTAATTTAACTAGTTAAGTTACAAAGTTAATATGAATTAAAGCTTACTAGTTAGTGCCCAGCTGTGTTGATAGTTTATTCCTAAATTTCACGGTTTCTTAATTATATTACTTTATTTATGTATTTGTAATATCATAAAATAAACATACGAGTAGTAATTTAAACCACTATCGTCAGGTACCGATGTATTTGCTCAAAAATATTTTTTTGTATATGATGCAATCGTCGTTTTTAACAATATTAATTATTTCGGTTATTTTTCTCATTCCTGTAATTAGGTAATTCAAATATAATAAATATTTATATTTATTTTCCTACTATTGTTTGATCATATAATTTTTATTAAAACAATTTGTGAGATGGAAATCGTGAATTAATTTGTTATGAGACATATTATATATTTGTATTAGTTCTTTACTATACATTGATTTCAGAATAAATCTAAAATTTAATTATGGATGCTCATGAGCTGAAAAACAGACAGCTTAGTGAAACCAAATTCTTGGACCATTTGCCAGGACCATCTGTCATGGATGACAGTAGAACTATCGAGTCTGGCTGGAAAGAAGTTGTAGAAAACTTCCATGAGATGAATTTAAAAGAAGAATTGTTGCGTGGTATCTATGAATATGGTTTTAAAAAGCCATTAGCTATTCAACTGCGAGCTATTTCGCAATGCATAAAGGGACATGATGTCACTCTTCAGGCACAATCTGTTACTGGAAAGACAACGGCTGTGGTGATTTCAATTCTTCAACAAATAAATACTAGTTTGAACGAGTGCCAAGCACTCATACTGGTACCGTCATTTGAGTTGGCTCGTCAGGTTCAAAAAGTATACATTTATTTTTTCGATTGAATTTTGAATTGTTTAAAAGATAACCTTAATTTTAGGTGGTCATTGCATTGGGTAAATTCATGAAAGCAGATTGTCACGCTTGCACTGGTGTAAAAAATATTCATGATTATGTACGCAAGCTGGATACTTTTCCCCACATAGTCGTCGGCACTCCCGCTTGTGTTTATGATTTGATTTATAGACATATTTTAAAAACTCAATTTATTAAGATATTTGTGTTAGATGAAGCCAATTTAATGTTTCACCGACATTACAAATTTTATATTAAAGATGTATTTAAGTCCCTGGATGAAGATACCCAGGTATTTTTGTTATCTAATCAAATTTCCAAAAAAGCTTTGAATGAGGGCACTCGATTCGTGAGTAATCCTGTACGTATTTTTATGCCGAAAGAAGAACTTACACTGGAAGGTGTGTAAAATAACAATTTTTTTGTTGTTTTTATAGTACTTTTTTATAATTCTTTTTTATTTATTTAAAATTATTTATTTAGCTTTTAAACAGTTTTTCATCAACAATTCACATACAAATGAGACACAACATGGAAGTTCAAGTGAATTCAATTACTACTTTCAATCCACAGAACTACCTAGCATGGATGTCTGTGGAACTATCGAGTCTGACTGGAAATATGTCATAGACAATTTTCATGACATGAATTTAAAAGAAGAATTGTTGTGTGGTATCTATGAATGTGGTTTTGAAAAACCATCTGTTATTCAACAGCGTACTATTTTGGCGTGTATAAAGGGACATGATGTCATTGTTCAGGCCCAATCTAGTACTGGAAAGATAACATCGGTTTTGATTTCGATTCTCCAACTGATCGACACTAGTTTGAGTGAATGCCAAGCACTCATTTTGGCACCCACAGGGAAGAAAGCTCTGCAGATTCAAAAGGTAAACTTAGATTTTATGATTAATTTTTCAATTTTTTGTAATACAACATTGTTTTTAGGTTGTTATTGCTTTGGGTAAATACATGAAACCAGATTGTCATGCTTGCATTGGCGTAAAAAACATTGATGATTATGTCCGCAAGCCGGATACTGTCTCCCATATAGTGGTTGGAACACCCACCTGTGTTTTTGATTTGATTTCTAGAAAATCACTACGAACTCAATTTATCAAGATATTTGTGTTGGAGAAAGCAAATACACTGTTGTCTCGTCATGTAAAAATTCATATTAAAGAGATGTTCGAGTCCCTTGAAAAAGTTACCCAAGTAATTTTGTTATCTTATCGAATGTGCGAAAAAGCTTTGGATGAGAGCGCTCACTTAATGTGTAATCCTGTACACATTTTTATGCAGAATGATGTACGAACATTTGACTCCAATATAGAAGGTATGTGTAATTAGTCATTATTAATCCTATCTAAAATATTAAACTATCTATCTAATCTAAACTATTGTTATTTCTTTATTTAATTTTTAATTAAGTGTTATTTAAATAGGCATAAAACATTTTTTCGTCAACTTTACCAAGGAAGGATGTAAATTTGACAGTCTATGCAATTTGTTTGATACTCTAAGTATTACCCAGGTTGTGATATTCTGTAACACATGCTATAAAGTAGAGTGTTTGACTGAGAGTATGCGTTTGAAAAGATTCAACGTATCGGCTATGCATCGAGAAATGGATCGTCAGCAAAACAATAAAACTTTGTTTCACTTCCATTCTGGCTCTATTCGTGTACTAATTACCACTCATACGTTTGTTCGAACTATTGATGTACAACAAGTGTCGCTAGTTATCAACTATGATTTGCCGTCCGATTGCGAGAACTTTACTCGTGATATAGAACGTTCTCGCTATGTTGCACGTAAAGGAGTCGTCCTTAATTTCATCACGGAAAACGAAAATCAGTCAATGTATGTTATTGAATAATGAATCATTGTTATAAAGTACTCACATAAATGATATGCATTCTTCTAACATAAATAATATGATATGAATAACTGTGGTCAATAATATTATCTTGAAGACATATTTTAATTAATACTTGTAGTTCGCTGTAACATAACATTATGGTTATTTAAATTTGATAATTTCTATTAACAAGGTAGGTAAACAAAGATATCAAAAAACCACTTTATATAACTATTCAATTAAAAATTGGAAATAAAGGGGAAACAAATGATTGTCAAGTCGGGCCCATCACCTCAAACCAGCCACTGGTTTCCTATCAACAAACAAAAACTCAACCATATAAATCTAATGTTTTATTACTAAAATAAGTAATTATTTCCAAGCTTATATAATCGGAATAAATGTATTTAAATGAAAAGTTAATTCCGCATTTTTTTTTTTGAGTTTGGTAACGTTTATAAGTAAATATATGAATTTAATTCAGAACGAAAAAGTTCTAGTCCCCTATGTAAAAAAAATTTATATTAACAACCAAAAGGTTTTATATGAATTATTTTTTAAAGCTTCAAATGTTATTAGTGTGATAAGTTATGATAAGTAATCATTGATAACAATACATAATAATTTTTAAAGTAAGATTCAACCATTTGGTAAACATATCTTTTTAACACTTTTCTTAAGTTTGGTTTCACGTCTGTCTGTGATCAAATCTTGCGCGCTCAATTTGAGGCACTTTTTGAAGATGAAAAATTCTGAAAATTGGTATAGACCTTGGTCTTGGATGACAATACAATAATCCGTTGTCATTTTGGGACATGGACCAAAAAAAAAAAAAAA